TGGTAAAAGAATTCACAGAGACCAGATAGTAGGGTTATATAAGGCTAAACATTGTAAAGAATGTTTGAAGTGTGGATGCAAAGATACAGTGCTCCATGCTTGAATGCAATGTTGCTACTAATGATTTGGGCTATAGATTTTCATCATCGTGTCAATGGCTGCATACAGTGGGTGTTCAAGGCGAACCTTCATAATTCGTTTCTCAAACCTTGCAATTAAACTTGCTTATTTACATTATTTGGCTTCATTGTCGTTAAATGAATATTCGTTGTGCTTTTAGGGTTTTCAGATGCCACATATCACAATCTTCCAATTCTTCTTTCTGGTATGTGCCAATTACTGATAGTGGCATAAAGGTTGTATTTTTTTGCTTTACTCATCATTACTTGCTTTGACCACTGCACGCAAAGATTTCGCTGCTGCAACTATTACATATTAATTCAAGCTACTGATATGTTGTCTTTGAGATTTTAGCTGCAATATTTATCCCCCTACAATCTCTATCAGAGTTGCATAACAACATATTCTAATGGGATTTAGTTGAAGCGTTGGGACAATTAAATTAGAATCATTTTCCCTGCTTTAACTATGTTACTATCCTTTATCTACTAAAGCTTAATTGCTTCTCCACAAAGCCAAGAACACTTTGTCGTCCCTGTTGGTATATTGACAGCTCCTCTTCTGAAAGTAATTTATGCTTGGACATTATATAGTGGTTTTACTCGAAAGCTATCTGAGTTATTATCACTAAATGTAGAATGCATGAACTGGAATGATGAAGAGGTCACAAGGTGAAAGAGAATGGAGCACCGGTAAAGTCAACCAAGGGGAAGAATGTAACATGTTCATGGATAACTTGGCGGAGTTCTCCTATTTGGATTAAAAGTTCTGCATATTCGTAGAGTATGAAGCCAATTGGCAAAGGTTTATGTTTTTTATTCGATTTGATAATGGTGATACAACCTTATTAATTTTTTTAAAAAAGTTACAAAAGGAAAACAAGTCTGTAATTTCGGCATAGGTTTGTTAGTTAAAGTGTGTACTATGATCAATAGGTACGTGATTCCGTAAACTGAACAAAATCGAGTATGTTCTTCCAACTATATAGGCTTTTTTTTTTTTTTTTTTTTTTTTTTTTTTTTTTGCCCGAGTAATATCAGAAAGAAAGTTAGAACAAACACTACCCAAACGCCCTCCCCACCCCGCTAACAAACCAACCTACAAAGTCAAAAGAAGCTAACTCTAGCCGAGACAGCAACAGGGCTTTACGCGCCACTCTATGGGCAGCCCAGTTGGCAGTCCGCGGAACCGCCCTAAATTCTATACAAAGAGACGAAGATCCAAGGAAACTCCTACAATCTCTAAGAATGGGGCCACCCACGGAATCCTCCACTGCACCAAGGCTAAGCTGACGGATGACCACAGCCGCATCTCCCTCAATGATGACACGAGGCAGATTTCTAGACGTTGCAAGAGAGATCGCATCCCTTGCTGCAAGGAGCTCTGCAAGGTACGGGTCTGAAATCCCTGGATGCTGGAAACCTGAGGCAAGCAGAACATGACCGTCCGAGCCACGAACCACAAGGCCAGACGAGCAACCAGAGGCATGAACAGCAGCATCAAAGTTGATCTTCAGAACATCTTCAGGAGGGCATTCCCAGGGCTGGCATGGAGAGGCAGTCACACGAGGCTGAGCAGGCGGGGCAGGAAGACAGGAAGAGAGCACTTCACGGACTTGAAAGGAGAATTGGCGGGCAAGCGAACGGACATGAGGCTGGGTATTTTCAAATACCACTTTATTTCTTGATTTCCATATTCTCCACAAGAGACATACGATCTGGAGAATATGGGTTTGGGACTGCTCTGAAAGCATAACTTGACGCCACCATACACTAAAGTTCATCGTTGGGGCCGAAAGCAGTATGTCACTTAATCCCACAAAGTACCATAACATAATGGCAAGGGGGCAATGAAAAAACAAATGTTCTATACTCTCTCGGCTCCTCCAGCAAACAGGACATCGCCTTAGACAATTAATCCCACGAGAACGGAGCGCTACTGTCGTTGGTAGGACTACTCTTAGGCACTGCCAAATGAAAAACCTTAGTTTAGGAGGTGTCTGAATGCCCCATGTCAGTTTCCACAAAGGAGGATCAATAATCAGAGCCAGGGCTTTTCTATTGGGAGCTAGAATGCCATCAAGAGCTAGGTGATACCCTGTTTTTACTGAGTACTTGCCATTTTTGGTAAAATGCCATACTCTAGTGTCTGGCTGCGATGTCCGAGGAAGAGCCATTTTGCAAATTATATCAACCGAGCAGGGCTCAAAATAATCTTGTAACCTCGAAATGTGCCATTCCCTTGTACTTTCCTCAATGAAAAAGGAGACTCTTAGAGATGAGTTAATATTGGCCAACTTAATCACCGGACTCTCAGGTTTAGAAGATGGGATCCATCGGTCATAAAAAGCATCAATATTATGACCATTCCCAACTTGCCAGCGCATTCCTTGGAGGAGTAGATCCCTTCCGTAAAGTATGCTTCGCCAACCCCACGAGGGATTTGATCCTATCCGAGCCTCTAAGATTGTACTAGCGTTAAAGTACCGCCCTTTATAGATTTGACTAAGCAGAGAATCTGGATCTGCCCAAATGCGCCAACATTGCTTTGCTAGGAGGGCCTGGTTAAACGCCTCAAAATCCCTGAAACCCAATCCTCCTTGGAACTTGCTTTGGGAAATTCCCTTCCAAGAAACCCAATGTATAGGGTGGTCAGAGTTGCTAGAGGAGCCCCACCAGAATCTTGCCACCTCACTATTTAATCGTCTACAGGTTTCCTTAGGAAATTTAAAGCAAGACATACCGTGAACAGGTATGTTAGTTGCAGAGATTCTTATCAAAGTATCTTTGCCAGCTCTAGAAATCACTCTCTGCTTCCAACCAGCAAGCTTCTTGCGAAACTTCTCCTCTATGGACATAAAAGCATCCCTTTTAGACCTGGGTAGTAAGGAAGGCAGACCGAGATACGCATCTTGTTCTCCAATAGCACCCACACCTAGTTGGGTACCCATTGACAATGCCGCATCTGGAAGTGTATTCCGGCTAAACAGAACTGCAGACTTGGCTAGGTTAACCCTTTGTCCACTCAGCCCTTCATATACTTGTAGTAGGGATAGCAATCTGGTGCATGAGGCGGAGGAAGCTTCAAGGAATAAAAAGGAGTCATCCGCAAAGAAAAGATGGGAAACCATTGGGCATGATTGACGAATGCGTACTCCTTCCAAAAATCTCATAGACACCGCCTGGCTAATTAAGGCCGAAAACCCTTCCGAACAAATGGCAAAAAGTAGTGGAGAAAGAGGATCTCCTTGGCGGAGACCTCTAGTCGGCCGAAAATACTCAGAAGGATTTTCATTAACAATTACTGAATAGGATACTGTTGTAATACATTCTCTTACCCAAGAGACAAACTGGGGATGGAAACCCAACTCCTTCATCATCTCTAGCAGAAAATGCCACTCAACGCGGTCATATGCCTTTTCCATGTCTAGTTTCAAGGCCATCCACGACTTTTTCCCCGAATACATAGTTTTGAGATGATGCGTTATTTCATGACTAACGAGTATATTATCAGTAATCTGACGCCCTTTAATAAATCCATTCTGGGATTTGGAAATAATGGTTGGTAACACTAGACTAAGTCTGTTAGCCAGAATCTTAGAGATGATCTTGTAGAAGACCTGACACAGGCTTATAGGCCGCAGATTTTTCATGGTACGAACCTCTGCAACTTTTGGAGCTAGAGATACCCACGTACGATTGAAACTTCTCAGTAGACGCCCAGAGTGGAAAAAGGCTAACACCGCTTGGGTTACATCCTGCCCAACTATACTCCAATACTTTTGAAAAAAACCGGCTGTAAACCCATCCGGTCCGGGAGCCTGGGTTTTACCCATGCTAAAGACCACTTTCCTGATCTCCTCGGGCGTCACTGGTGAGGTTAACGCCATATTTTGTTCTATACTAACGGTCGATGAGAAAGGAAGGTTAGCCAGACTAATTTCCCCCAAACTGTGGGTAAGGAAGATTTCCTTAAAGTACTTCACCGCAATGCCACTTTTTTCCATCTCTAACGTGCACCATCTTCCCGTATCATCCTCTAAACCGCCAATGAAGTTTTTTTGACGCCTAACTGATGTAATAAGATGGAAATATGGCGTATTCCTATCCCCTTCTTGAAGCCATTCAGCCCTGGATTTTTGCCTCCAGAACATTTCCTCTCGATCATATTGGATTGCTAGGCGACTCTCCAAATCTCGAATTAAACCCCAGTCCACAACAAAGGCATTCCTTGCCAGTTCTAAAGCCTGGCTTAGATCTTTTATATTTCTAGCTGCATTCGACGTACCCCCTTTACACCAATCAACAAGGCCATGCCTAGTACGAAGGAGTTTGGAGAAGAGACAGTATTGGTATGAACCATTTACATGTATCCCCCAAATGAAATTGATTAGGAGGCCAGCTTCTGGATTCAAAGTCCAACGAACATCGAATCGAAATAATCTCTTTGCTCTCAGGGATTCCGGTTGAGTCAACAAGCAAAGCAGTCTATGGTCTGATCCTCTATCCGAAAGATGGTGAAGACAGGTGTTCGGCCATACTTCCATCCATGAATTTGAGGCAAAGGCTCTATCAATTGTCTGCTCGATTAGGATTCCATTCCTACCTCGATTTGTCCAGGTAAATTTTGGTCCTTGGTACGGGGGCTCAAACATTCCTAATCGGTTCAAGAAGTCCTCAAGAGGACGCGCTTTGTCCCTTCTCCATGGGGCACCACCCAATTTTTCAGATGGGAAAAGTGAGCAATTCACATCTCCAATAATCACAAAAGGATCCGAAAGGCGAGAACAAAATCCAAGTAAATCCATTAATTGAGATTGGCGACGAGAGGTGTCATAGGAGAGGTAAACTCCAATAAGCACAAAACGTTGACACTCACCGTAGGAAAATGACTTATTATTGATGACCGCAATAGCAATAAAAAAAGGGGAAGACCCAATGACTGACACAGAGGCCCAACTAGGCCAAGCAAAGACTAAACCCCCCGACATACCGGTAGGGTCAACAGGATAGCAACTAGAGAAACCTAAAGAGGAAATAAAAGATGACACTTTGTCACTAGGATTCATTGTTTCACAAAGAAAAAGAAAGGACTTAGACAAATTGCGGAGACCTTTAAGCGTTTGGAATGTCAAGGTACTCCCCACACCTTGACAATTCCACGCGAAGACCTTCATTTATCAACTTGGGGCCACTTGGGGCTGGCTACCTCCACCATTATTCCTTTGTTCTTTGGCACTTCAATGCGTGGGCGCTTGAGACCAGATTCAACCACCCCATCCTCAGGTTCTTGAATACAAATTCCAGCATTCCTCCTGACATAAACCTTTGGTGACCCCGAGGATTCGACCAAGATTGCTTTTCCTCTTGATTGTCCATTAGTCACCACCCCAATCGGTGAGCAGGAGACCGCGGAATCTGAATCTAGTTGCAGTTCTTTGTTAAGCGTGTCCGAGCCACCTTGCAAAAAAAAGTGAGAATCTCCCATTTCTTCATACAAAAAGCCCGGATCTTCATCACAAAACAAATTACCTAAACCATACGAAGCTGAAGGCTCCTGGATTTGCAAGGGAGTTGCCACAGCACATGGAAGCGCCAAAAGAAGGCCATTCCCGCCGTCGTTGGGCTGAGCCCGTGCTAGGTCCCCACACTGGTTCAAGCTCACCACCATGCTTTCATTTGCTCGACTCCTGCAGAGAGGCCCTTGAGTATGTGACAACCCATTATTTGGTTTGTGGCCCCGCTCAGCTGCCTCCCTAGCTGCAACAGTAGCTGGCCCAGCATCACCCTTCTCCAAGAGTCGAGGCCCACTTCTTATTTTCCCCATCTGCTTTGGCCTGGATCCGCCGCCGATGTTGTTAGCACGGAGATTGCGCTGGTTTGTCCCAACTCTGCTCAATGATTGCCCAGCTGCCTCTGACGAATTGGCTGCAGGCGGAGGAGCTTCTAATTGAAGCCGCGGTTGCACCACCGGTCGAGGGCCTGGCCGTCCACCCTTACGCCACACGTTTCCGCGTGGTCGGCCACCGTTTCGAAAAGCTGCATAAGAGTTCTCATTCAGCTTTGGTCCCGTTCTTTCACCCAACACCTCAGGTCCGAATCCATCACCACCTGGGATCAAATCAAAAGTACAATTGCGTTGATTGTGTCCAATGCGCCTGCAGCGGAAACACACGGACTTAATATTTTCATATCTTAATGACACCCAAAACGTTGGCCCGACCGATCCATCATTTGCCCTTTTACGAGCTTCCAACCGATGTTCCAATGGGGCAGAAACATCAATAAGGACTTTGGCCTTGAACACACAGCCTGGGTTGTCCCATACTGCGTACATTGCCGCTTCCTCCACTGGTCCAAGCCTTGAAGCTAACAGCCTTCCCAACGCCACCGTTCGGTATTCTTCCGGCAGATCCCAAAGCTGAACTGGGTAAGGAACCCGAGCAAGGTCAAGGAACAGCTGGGGAGTTGGTTTCTCCCACTTCTTCAGAGTGAGGATCTTTGACTGGATGAACCATGGGGCTTTGCTCAAAGCATCCTGATAGTCCTCTTCGTTAGCAAAGACCAATTGAAATAGGCCATATCCAGCATCCAGGACTGTGACTGCAGCACGCTTAGCCCATATGTTATTTGCAGCATGTTGCACCCTGATTCTGGAAGGATGTGACGAGCAAAGGAGTCTGCCCACCAAGCTCAAACGTGCCCTGTTCACTCCAGCACCTAAGACTTCATCCGTGAATTCAATTGGACCTGCCATAGCTGATGGACAGCGAAGGAAGAAGCTCTCTGTTTTTCGGAGAAAGAGCATATATAGTTTATGGTTTATGCTTGCGATAACTATGCCAAGAATTAACATGTGCAAAATCAACTTTTTTTTACCGCCGGTGCCATATATATATGGATCGAGTGATATCAAATATGTCTCTAACTAGTGATTACCCCGCTATGAAACTAAGAACCAACAGACGCTCTAGGTTAAGAATGCTCAATTTGGTATACTTTAATCTATTCTCAAATGCAAGACAAGAAGACAATAAACACTGCAATTTTTATGGACTATAGCATACCACCTAGTAACTTGATGTTCAATAAACAACACACCACCCTAAAATTAACATGCCCACTGGAAAAAAAAAATTAACATACTCGCCGCAAAGCGCGGAACATTTGACTAGTACTTCTTTAATTGTAGCTTTGCCCATCATATAATTTTGCCCTTCATTGTTTTGTTAGAGAAGCTTCAATTGAGGCCATTGGACTCAGCTTTGCTGCCTTTTCTGGCCGAGGATGCCACTCGGCTTCAACGGAGATACATAATCCAATTGTGAATCAGTGAACCCAGTGGCGGAGGCAGTGCATAACAAGGTGGGTCTACCTTGGCTCAGGAGAAAATATGTATGTTTAGGTTAACTGTGGTAAAAGGTTGTACCAGACAAGTCAACGATATAATATTTTATGCTGAAAATGTGGTTTAACCATTTCATATCGCTAATATCTTCTATCAATTTCGCTTTCAGTATGGGATTTTTCTTATCGAACCACTAGTACGCTACGGTTTTTCACTCCTTAATACAATAATTAAGTGACGATGACATTTTTCACCTAAAATTCATCAATATTGATCAATATTTCTACCATCAAACAATAATTATATCATGAATTTAGCTATCATCATTATATATAATAAATTTTAGTTTCTACATAAATAATATTAGCACAAAATATAACGTCATCCTCCAAGCTTCAAATCCTTAATTTATCCATTACCTATCGCCAAAGCCTCCTTTTGTTGAAACTCACTAGATCCTTTTTATCCTAATAATGAATTCAATATATCAGGTTTTAGACTCGAACTAAGGCTACACTGCAAGTGTTGAAAGAAAATTTTCAATGCGCCACGTGGATATAAAAGAAAATTGAACCCACCTTACATAAAATTCTGACTACACCACTGAGTAAATCAATGGGATTTGACCTTTTCCTCCCTCTACCAATCTCGAGCTACGGTGGCTGAGTGCATTTGCATAACTCGCATCTAGCCTCCTTATCACCAGGTCAACAGAGGATGGGTAGGTGGAGTTTTGATCAGAAAGCAACTGATGTGTAGATAGTTGAAAGGTTCTAAGTCCATTCACCATATTTGTTTTGCTCATTACATCCTGCGTAACAGTGCACTCATAATCTAATCACATACCAAAATTGCATGCAGAATTGCAGATAGTTGAAAGAGCCAGTTTTGATTTGTCCTTTTAGATTAAAAGAATGTACACACAGTGTTGAGGTTGCCATGTAAATTTCATCGACCTAGTTGTTGTAAACTAGTAAGAGCGGAAGAGAGTCATCTATGGTGGCCAATGGGTGGTGGCATGGTGGTGGTGGGTGGGCCTGTCCCTGTCTCCTAGCCTTATGTGGCCATCAACCTCTTTGTACAAACCTGACTCTATATATAATACTTCTTTTGAATATTTAGAACAGGGGATCCAAAAATCATGTTTGGATGAAAGTTGTTAAATGGAAAACATTTGGATAACAGATTCAATGCAACCAATTATGAAATGATGAACTGATTTACACTTGACAATTCTAATTGCTTGGGATCAATTCTCTCAACAATTTAGTTGTCAGAGTTGGAGTTATGGAGATGATGAACTCTCAACCAGATAAGATTGTTCGTAACATCGTATAACTCACGAGTCACGACCTTCTTATAAGCTTTGTTTATCTTAATTGAAAAGAAAAGTTAGACAGTGAGTGCACTAAGACTATGCTAAAGTTTTTTTTTATAATGGTGAAATATATTAATAGTAAAAACAAGGAAAATGTACAAAGAAACCGACAGCCACAACCCCAAGCAGCCCAAAACCAGTAGGAAAAAAAAAGAACAGAGCAGAGCAGGTGCCAAGAAAACATCAAAGAGAAAGAGGAAACAAAACTGCCAAGCACCCGGAGACAGGACAAAAACAAGGCAAGGGAAATCATCTGGGAGAAACAGAATTGTCATTATCATCCACGGGAGAAGGTACGAACACAACAAGTGGAAGAGTCAAGGGGACATCGTTTATGGGGAACAGGCGGGACTTAACCACACTCATCCAAAATCACGGCAGAAGCAGCCTGCCTTTGATCCACACATCATGCCACAGAGAAACCTCCGAACCTACACCAGCTTCAACATAGGCGAATTTCCAAAACAGAATTTTAGTCTTCATAATATGAGCCCAAATACTAGAACCGCAAGGGCCCGAGCGAGTCCCTGACATCCATTCCAAGGAAACGTTGGGGAATTTAATCGAAACAAGCTCCCTCCACCACGCATCTCGCTCACGGGCAAAACCCCACCACCATTTGCACAGGAGGGACTGATTTCGAATCCTCAAATCAGTAATCCATAGACACCCAAACCGTTTCGGAGCCTTACACACGTCCCAAGAAACAAGATGGAGTTTCCTTTCACCCTGCCGACCCACCCATATGAAATCCCGTTGAATCTTCTCAAGTTTGTGGACAACAAAGCGCGGAGCATTGAACAGGCAAAACAGATATACAGGTTGACTTTCCAGGACCGCATTGCACAAGGTAATGCGTCCAGCCAACGAGAGATAAGAAGCCATCCACACCTCCAATCTCCTACCCACTTTACCCAAAACATTATTCCAAACGGACGATGAGGTCGGAGAAGCGCCAAGCGGTAAGCCAAGGTAAACCGTAGGAAGGAACTTCCAATCACAGCCAAGAATCTCTGCAAACCTATCCATATACTCCACCCGGCCAACGGGGAACAGCTTGCTTTTAGCGAAATTTACCTTTAACCCAGTGATATTCTGAAACCAAAGCAGAATGGCAGTCAAATGGAAAACCTCCGCCTCCGACGCATCACAAAAAATAATCGCATCATCAGCTTACAGCAAGTGGCTCACTTCTCCCATGATGCAATGCTCATCCATCCAAAAACCAGTAAAAAGGCGAGCCTCCCGAGCCTTGTCCAGAATAAAGGACAAGACATCCATGACCAGACTAAAGAAGAAATGAGAGAGAGAGTCCCCCTGCTTTAAGCCTCTTTGCATCCCGAAGAAGCCCCCTGCTTCGCCATTGACGAGCACAAAAAGTCTAGATGAGGTCACGAGACCTCTAATCCACTTCCTAAAACGAGTGTGAAGACCCATGTTCTGAAGAATCCGAAGAACACAGCCCCAACTCACAGAGTCAAACGCCTTTTCAATATCGAGTTTTAAAATTAGCCTCGGTCTGCCGCTGCTCTTTCTACTGTCCACCAGTTCGTTTGCAATCAAACCAGCCTCGTGTATATGTCTTCCCTTAATCCCTGCGAACTGTTGAAGAGAGATAGTCCTACTCATAAAGGGTCGAAACCTCCTGAACGGGAGCTTCATAGTCTTTTCCGATCGCTTCATAGTCTTGACAAAATAAAAATATTAAACTTCGAAATGATTTGACAGAATATAAGATTAGTCGAACAATGACCTATGTTAGAAAAGCTTTCAATGCCTACCATGAACATAATAAGAAATAAGATTGTTCCGAGCGAAGAACATTTGGAAGGAACATATCATCCCCATCGTCAGAACTTCGTCTTATCCCATGTTAATGTCGTTCTCCTCCATTGTTTCATCATGATAGTTGACTTCGAGTTGCTTAGTTTATAATTGTTCTAACGCCATATATCTAAAAATTACTGGTTGTCTGTGTCAACCGCTATTAGTATTAGTATCGAATTGGTATCGTAGTTGTCTTCCTCCCTCAGATTATCCAAAAACAATATAAAAACAAAAACAAACTGGTTGTGGTTGGCCGTAAAAGTATGGGAATCCGGGAGTTTGAAATTCGTTGATACTTGAATGTCACCTGCCTAGTTTTGGCATTATTGAGGAGGCAGAGTAAGCTGCTTGCTGTTGCATTACTGCCGTTGCAGCCATCACCACCAGTCCACTGCCTACCCTGTTTCACCATTTTTCTTATATATCTCTCTGTATTCCCAAATCCCGTATTCCCAAAGAACCCTTTCCTTCCTTGTTTTCCCCTCTCTTGCCGTTGAAAATCTCCCCAATCTTCACCTTCTCCAGAATCATCGATCGTCTCCCTCTGATTTCCTCTCTCTTTCCCCAGTCCATACGCAAATGCATCCAGCAAAGCGCAGCCACAGGTTCTTCAAGTTCAGAATCCCACCTCCAGCTTCGTCTCTTTCCCTCTCCACCTAAAACAGAGCTGATTTTGTAGTTGTCTTCTCTTCCTTTCGATTCAAACCCCACCACCGAAAAAGACAGTGCCCAGATAACAATACACCCACAAAAAAATTCCCTTCCTTTCTTTCACTTCCGTGTTGGAATTCTTGTCACTTCCCTCCCCGCTTACCCCACTCACCAGGGATTCAAACGGGAAAAAGTAAAACCTTATAGGAGAGGGGTGCGATTGTCAGTTTTAAAATTTATCAAGCGAGATATACCCTATCTACTCTGTTTCTCTCTGGTCTCATCAAATGGTTGCCAAAACAGAGTATACCCACTTCTCACGTGCGGCGGAGGAGTTGGTGGCCGGCTCGGGTTGGATTCTGCTTCGGATTGATTACTCCCGCCTCTTCTGGCTCCTCTTTCGCCACTTCTCCTACGAAAACCACGAGGGGAAGCCGAGGATCGTTTGATTTTTTCTAACCCTCTACTCAAAACCCTCTTCTTCTCTAGCTCTCTGTTTGCTTTCTTCACCCTGTTTTCCTTCCTCGATTGTAAAGTTATTGCCTTTAGTTACAAAGTTTGAGTCAGTTTTTCGAGTTGT